CTTGAAACCCATATTCCAGAAATATTGCATTATTACGTGGTTCAGTATATTTTCTTTCTCTGAGGGGTGGGAACTATATATATATAAAATATACAGCCACGAATGGTTTTCTTTTCTTATTGTGAATTAATTAAGAACTTATATCCTTATATCCTAATACCTTTAGGTCTCCTAACAGCTTCAATTCTTTCTATGGGATTTGCAGGAGTTTTATAGTTATAATTATTTTATTATTATTATTTTTTGGCAGAACTGGAATTGAGCTCAGGGTCTTGAGTTTGCTATACCAAGCACTATACCATGCCCCAGTCCTAGTATTTTATTTTTTACACTGCTGGGGATTGAACCTGGGCCTTGCACATGCTAGGCAATCGCTACCACAAAGCCACACCTCCATTCCTCTTAAGTTCTTAATGGCTTCTTATCCATCTTTTTTTTTTTTCATTTTTCTTTTATTATTCATATGTGCTTATCCATCTTTTAAATGTGTGTAGTACAGGTTTATAGCTATGGTCAGTCTTTTTTAATAAAAAAAATGCTTTCTCTCAAATATGCTTTCTCTAAGACTCAAACAAAATCAGTTCCAGCCCCTCTCTCTTAAATCAAAGCACTCTATTCTGCTGGGTACTCACACCTATAATCCTAGCTACTTGGGTGCCTGAGATATGGAGGATTGTAGTTTGAGGCCAGTCCAGGCAAATAGTTCATGAAACCCCATCTCCAAAATAATCAGAACAAAATAGACTGGAGGTGTGGCTCAAGTGGAAAAGCACCTGCTTTGCAAAAGCGAAGACCAGGAGTTCAAACCACAGTGCTCCCCTAAAAAAGAGAAAAAAGTAAGCTTCTTTTACTACCTTAAAACAAGTTGCCTTCTTTGTTTGTTTCCTTCTCTGGACTCCAAGTCCCATGAGGACAGAGAGTGTGTCCCTCTTTCACTATATCATCTCTAGACAACCCTAGAATGTAATAAATGCTTAATAAAAACTTGTTGCTAGCCAGGTGCCAGTGGCTCACGCCTGTAATCCTAGCTACAAGGACACAGAGATCAGGAGGATTGCGGTTTGAAGCCAGCCTGGGCAAATTGTTCATGAGACTCTATCTTGGAAAAAACCCAGTACAAAAAAGGGCTGGTGGAGAGGCTCAAGGTGCAGGCTGTGAGTTCAAACCCCAATACTGCAAAAACCAAAACCAAAACAAAACTTGTTGCTGCCAAATTGTGAACAAATTATAACAATCCTGTTATTATAACAAACACTAAAGTCCTTTAGCATTAAATTCAAACTTCTGGAACTGTTGGAGAATTAAATTAGTATATGATAAGTTGTAAAGTCATACATTTGGCTCATTTAAAAAGTTTGCAACTTAGGTAAATAGTTCCAGGACTTTTATAATAACTAGTTACTTTAAGATGAAAATGAGGGGCTGGTGGAGTGGCTCAAGTGTTAGAGTGCCTGCCTAACAAGCGTGAGGCCCTGAGGTCAAACCCCAGTACCACCAAAAATAAATAAATAAATAAGTGAAGATGAAAATGAGTATTACAGTTTGGATATGAAGTAGCCCTCAACCTCAAAAGGCCCTTGTGTTGAGGACTTGGTCTCCAGTTGGTGGAGTCAGTCATTAAGAGGTGATTGGATTATTAGGAATCTGACATCATTTATAGATTAGTCCATCAGTGGATTCATAATTTAATGGCATTATTGGGAGTTAGAGCCTGGCTGGAGGCAGCAAGTCACTGGGTATGCCTTTGAGGGGTATCCTGTCTCTGGCCCCATTTTGTCTTGCTCTCTGCTTCCTGGCTGCCATGAGGTGAGTTGCTTCCTCTGCTACATGTTCCCACTAACATGATATTCTGCTTTGCCTCAGGTCCAAAGTAGTGGATCCAGCCAGCCTGGGACTGATATGTCTGAAACTGTGAACCCAAATAAATCTTTTTTCCCTTAAGTTGTTTATGTTGGGAATCTTGTCACAGTGAAGAAAGTCTGACTAACCCATTGAGATGTCAGAGAACTGAAGGAATGATTAAAGTTCATAACTTAGTAAAATAACAATTAATGGGTATGGATGACTTAGATAATATTATCTATATCATAGAATCTTATCAAAAGTTATACAGAAAAGAGGCATCAGGGTGGGTGTACATGAATTTTTAGGATTTGCAACCATGGGGCTCGATGTTTATGTTTTTTGACAAATTCTGTCTTTATCTTTCTGGTGAGGGGTGGCATGAGGAACAGAGTCTATTCTATGTGTTAAGCAAATAGATAAGATGAAATGGGGAATGAAATTTTGGCCTGCACTCCCTTTTGACTGTGAGAAAGAAAGGCCTTCACAGTCTCACTTTTCTCCTCCCATCTTCCCTCTTTTGCTCCTTCCCTAAGTTGTCCTAGCTCCTTAGTCTCCTCCATTCTGTGACAGTTTCTCAGTATTTCTTTGTTCCTCATGACCTTGAGAACCTGAAGAGTTCTTGTCAGGTAACTTGTCGACTGTTTCTCAATTTGGATTTGTGTGATTTTTTTCTAATGAAAATATTGAGGGCACAAATTTTGGGGAAAAATATCAGTAAGAATATCACATCATATTGGAGCACATGATGTCTACATGACTTGTTTACTCTTAATTACTTGGTTATGGGGGATGTCTGCCAGGCCTGCTAATAAGGTCTTCCTCCAGTCCTCCCTCCCTTTATTCTTCTCTCCTTCCCTCTCTCCTTCCTTCCTTCTTTCTTCCCTCTCCTCTTCCTCCTTCTTCTTCCTCTTCTATCTTTCTCTTTCTCTCTCTCCTCTTTCCCATGTGTGTGACTGTTTAAAATTCAAGTGATATTGAATTTCATTGCGTGAAAGTGCATAGTTTGTATGCTATGGATATTTTGTAATTTATTGAAGTTTCTTTGTGACCTAATTCATGATCGATTTTTGTGACTGTCTCAACTGTGTTTGAAAATAATCTGTTTTGTTCCCATGACTTAACTTCCACATTTATGAAAGGAAGAACCCAAAATATCCAACTCCTTTGACTTAATTTTTGAAGATAAAATTGAAAGAAAAAACACTCCATTTGTTCTTTTTGGCTCTTTTGCAAACTCAGAATGGATATAGTTTAACAAGTAAACACAGTAAGGGAGAAAAAGGAAGTAACTGTCCTTTCTGAAAATGGATTTGTTACTGTTGGCTAACAGGTGCACAATCCTTTGTGGGGGCACAATTTCAGCCTCCAAGGAGGGACTGGCGAGAGTGGGGGAGTAGCTACCTGTGACAGTGGCTCTGATCCATGTTTCATTCCTTAGAGGCTCACTGGCCTTGGATATTAATATGAATGAAACGGGACCTTTGGTGTATTACTGGGAAGTATCACTGTATGCTCAGTGGGGTTGTAGTTCTCCACCAGGCTGGGTAATGACAGTTGGCTAGTCAATCAAAGAGCCAGTGTGATCTGGGGAGGCAGCATGGACACACTCTTCCACATTTGCCACAGGAGGAGGAATTTAATGGTCATGGACTTCTGGTTATGGATTTAAATCAGATCCTCAATGGCCAGTCTCTGTGCCTCACCAATGGCTCTAACTCTTTTTGTGCTGTCTCCTGTTTTCCTTTCTTCTCTTCTGTGAACCTTCATGAAGCTAACTGTTGGATCGCTACCTACTCCTGGACATGATCAACAACACTTACCTTCTAGTTCCAAGGAGATCTCAAGCTTTTCCAAATACCATGTGCCATCAAGAAGTGTCTTAAACTTTACATGGGTATATGTTTTGTTATCTGTTTCAACTTTTCTGTAAGTTTGAAAACTGTCAAAATTTACAGTTGGGAAAAAATAATTTGTTTTTCCCCTTCAAAAAGTGAGTAACTGTCAGACATGATGGCACATGCCTGTGATCCCAGCTACTCCAGAGACAGAGATAGGAGGATTGAGGACTGGCACCTCCCAGGCAAAAGCATAACACCCAATCTGAAAAATAAATTAAGAACAAAAGGACCAGGGGCCTGGATCAAGTGACAGAGCACTTGCCTGGCAAATGCAAGGCCCTAAGTTCAGTCCCAAGTACTACCAAACAAACAAATAAACAATCTTCAGCTGTTGGTAATTATGCAAAAGATCTGTATCTTATCTGGCTGAAGACAGAGAATGTTGTTACCAGTGTTTTTATACCTGCAGGTGCCAAATACACACAACTATGGTCACCATGCCTTTTCTACAGCAGTGTTCCAGTGTCCCTCTAATTGTGCTCTGTCTGTGTTGAGAGAAGGTTGGGGCTGAGGATGGGTGACTTCCACACTCCCATCTTCTGGATTATGGCCAAGATGCCAGTTTGTCAGTGTTGTTAAGGGAGTCATCCTTCAACATTTGGCCCATTTCCATCCTTCTGTTTTTGAACATCCCCAACTCCATAAGGCAAATCTCCTTCTGTCTAGAGTAGCTAGGTGATCGCTGTGATGGAATCCTGACTTCAAACTTTTTGTAGGCAGAAACCCTGTTGATGCAAAGAAATGACCTTGCATTTTAGTGATGGGAAGGTGTGATAAAAAATGAATAAGTAAAAAAGTTTTTAGTAAGTCATTGACACGCGTTAAAGGCAAAAATAAAGTTGGTAAAGGGCATGGGGATGCAGGTGTTTTGCTTTTAAAGACAGTAGTCAGGAAACAGGTTTCTGATAGGGTGACTTTTGACCTTCCTGTCTATTATGCTAATTGTGCGTAAGGCCCTGGTGGAGTTATTGTGTTAAGATGCAACGATTCCCTCACTCCTTTCCTTACATAACTCCTTAAGTTTATTAAAATACTGTTTTCCATCTCCAGGCAGTTGTGTTGTTTACCCACAGCAAACATGGCGGAAAGAGCTTCAATCTGACCCTTCGCCCCCAATAAAGATGGCTACAGCACTTCCGGTGCTTGCCCTCAACAAAGATGGCGACAACACTTCCTGTTTGGGGCTTTCGCCTTCAACAAAGATGGTGTTTATGGTACAGGTTCCCTAACATTGTGGATTCCAGTTGTAGTTTTTTTTTTTTTTTTTAAGATACGTGGTCGCAGACGTAAGTAACAGGAATCCATCTTTTTTTGAAAGCCCCGCGCTGTGGCGACACCGGCCTTGCGTGGTTTTCTCGCCCTCCTAACTTGTCCGGGTTTCTGAGCACGCTAGGGTTGGGGTGGCGGTGCCGGGGACTGGTTCTCCTCTTGGTCCACTGTGAAGATCATCCCGCGGTTCACTTCTGCCGAAAATCTCCCTCGTTCTTGCCGTTTGTGACACAACACAGGTTTCAGCGGCTGAGGCAGGGACTGCTTACAAGTTTCAAATGGGCGCTCATAGACGAACGTGGACACCTGCCCCTCCCCCCACCTGCCACCCAGGACGTCACGGAGGACTGTAGGGGTTGGGGACGGGGGAGAGGGAGATGGGATCGGATGTCGCAGGCCTGTGGGTGTCTACAGCCCATCTGCCACCGCTTCCCCCCCCCACCATGTCACCTTCATAGCCACCACACTGCCGCCCCATAGCGTCTAGATACCTTCCAGTGGAGCTGGTGCTGGACGGTGGGCTTTTTTTTTTTAAAGAATAAAAAGACTCATTAAATGCCCCATGCATATGAGGCCACAGCAGTGTTGTGATGAAGGTTCTGCATTCTTGCATACTTTTTTTTTCGTAATACTGGGGTTTGAACTCAGGGACTTCACACTTGCTGGGCAGGCGTTCTACCACTTGAGTCACTCTGCCAGCCTCTGCATTCTTAAGAGGGAAGGAATGGCCCCTGACTGCATGTAAGATTTATTGTAGAATGCACAGAAACACATATTTTTCTTGAAGGTGATGTAGAGGCCCTTGGTGTAGTAAGAGGCCTTTTCTCATAGTAAAAAAAGATCCTTAAACTCTTTGGTACATCAGGTGTCTGTCCTCCACTTCCATTGCTAGTCAGGTTCTGCAAATGCTGGTGGTCATTTTTGCAGAATCTGCAGTGATGGGCTAGTACTGATAAAGGCAATGTTAAATAAAACCACTATTTCTTCTCCATGTTAAAATTAAAGGATGCTTTGTAATCCTCAGATAAAAATTGATTTTTAAGCAAGGTCTCTAACTTTTTTTTTCTGTCAAATCTCTTTATTGAAGAGGGAATTGAACTAGGATCCCATTGTGTGAAAAGCAGAAACAGAAAAGATGATTCTCTTAAGTGTTGTCCATTATTTCAGAAGCATTTGAAAGTGGGTTGGCTTGATCTAACAACCAGGTGATAAATACAGTGGCCTGGCACTCTGCTAAGATTGGAAGATCTGTCTGACCTTGAAGTGCTTAGAGTGCAGCAGTGCTAGCTTTAGGGGCCCATCAGCTTTCCTATAACCTCAGCTATGGTTTTGTCTCTTTCTAGAAAAAATGGAGGCCCGAGACAGACAAGTCCTTCGCTCACTTCGTCTGGAGCTGGGTGCAGAGGTATTGGTGGAGGGACTGGTTCTTCAGTACCTTTACCAGGAAGGAATCTTGACGGAAAATCATGTTCAAGAAATCAAAGCTCAAGCCACAGGCCTCAGGAAGACAATGTTGTTGCTGGATATCCTGCCCTCCAGGGGTCCTAAAGCATTTGATACCTTCCTGGATTCCTTACAGGAGTTTCCCTGGGTCAGGGAGAAGCTGGAGAAGGCAAGGGAGGAAACCATCACTGAGCTACCTGCAGGTAGGCCTCAAAAAGATCATATCACCCCAGCTCCAAGGTTGTTACAACCATGCTCTTTGGATGGGAAGTTGGTGGTATTAGGCTAGGCAGGGATTAGCAGTTCATGAGTACGGGCAAGGAATTTGGATGGAGGGGACATGGCATTGGAGGGACAGGATGAGGAGGTGGCATTAAGAAATGCCGGGAAGAAAGGAAGAATGGACCATGAGAGTGAGAGGTTGAGGAGAGAGCTCAGTACTTTTAGAATGCTTCCAGGGAAGCTTGGCATGTTTTCATCAGAGAGCCTGGTCCTATCTCAACTGTTGGCACCAGGAGCTACTTGGAAAGTGCAGATGGGAAAGCAGGCTTTGGCCTACTTGATAACTGATTTGTGGGGTGCCAGGCTGCCAGCTGGAAAGGTCAGATTTGTGGAGGAGGAGACAGCCTCTAGGAAGGCATGGCCTGCACCTGTCCCCTGGGCTGGTCCAGGAGGCCAGAGGGGATTATTTTGAAGACTGACTTAGTTTGTTTTTAAAGGCTGTTGGTTTCATAAAGGGTCCTTTTTAGTTTGGCTTTGTTCAGACACCTGGAGTATTTAGTTTTATAAGGTAGTAGTTTGGGGAGGGCCTTATTTTGACTTTAAGGAGAGTTGGAAGCTATGGAAAAACAGCTCTGGTGCTGTTTGCCAGGCTTGTAGCAGGAAGAATATGTAATGTGGAGCACTTGTTCCCTTTTACACCTCCCATGACTTCTGCAAAGATTGGGGAACAGAGGGCTCGATTGGCAAGAATATAAAATTTTAAAAATGAAGATAACTGAAAGTTGACTTGCAAAATTTTTACAGGAAATTAAGAAATGAAATGAAAATGGGGTCACATGTCTACAACTGACGTGCATCAGGACTATTTACGTCACCAAAATGATCATATAATTAAACAGTACTTCAACGTGAAAGACTTTCAGTTTATGTTATGTTTCCAACTGGTGTGTTGCCAGGAGGAACTGCTAAGTCAAATACCAGGAAAACACCAATGATTTTTAACATCTCCTGATTCTTTTATGTATTCTGCTTTGAAAAAAGTGGTCTGTCTTATGGATATTTTAGCTTGGTTTTGCTCAGACATGTTGAATATTTAATTTTATAAGTACAATCCACATTGAGTTAACAATTCCCTTAGCAGAGTTAAGAAGCCAGCACTGTTTGAGGTTTCTAATAGAGTGATAGAACTACTCCAAGTCAGTAGTGTCCAGACTGTGTTGTTACTGTTTTTATAACTGGCTAAAAACACCAATATGACTAGAAAGAAATCACTTTTATTATTTTTGCCCCATAGACCTTATATTTTGATTTTTCAGACCACATTTACTAAGTAATCATAATTAATTCTTCTCTCTGCATTAATTATATGTATCAGCATATCTGACATAATTAACTTTAGGAAGACCTGGTAAAATCTCAGTGGAAAAAAAACCAAAAATATTTTTTATCACTAGCTTGGCCAGATTACATGTAAATGTACTATTTAGGCTTTTTGAAGTACTAAAAATGGCTGGCCTTTGAGGACCACTAGAATTCTCAGTTAGATCATCCTTACAAAATTAAATGCTCTACATGTCTGAAAGTATGTAAAATGCTTCTACCACTTTACTGAAAGCAGACTATAACACCAAATTAGGGACATGTTAAAAAATTACTGGTGTTTTCCTAGTATTTGACTTAGAGGTTCCTCCTGGCAACACATAGTTGGAAACAACCAGGCAAACTGAAAGCTTTTCACTATTAAAATACGCAGTTTAGTTACATGATAATTGTGGGTGATATAAATAGTACTGATGTTAATCAGTCATAGGAACTTGATTCCATTTTCATTTCTTCAGATTCATTCAGAGAGCAAGAAAGAATTCTTTTCTTTTTAAACCAAATGAAAAGGTTAAAGAGAAGCAAAGAGAAAAATAGTTTTTTTTTTAATAAGTAAAATGAAGCTGATATAGTGGGAATAATTTGAGCAATATCTTTGTAGGGGATTAAAAAAATGAGGCCTTCTTCAAGATCTGTTAATTCTGTAAACAAGGTCAAATGGCAAGATAAGTTGACTCTGGAACAAATTAAATAATCGTATTGTTTTACTTTTTGTTGAATAACATTGCTACTGAAAAAAAAATCTGAGGTGGAGGTTTGAGACATATGTTTATAGCTTCCACAGTGACAATTACTAAACTCATTTTAAAATAGTTGGTTATTATTAAATAACTATTTTAAATAATACTAAATATAAGTAAAGTATGGAGAATAATGGTACAGTGAACACCTGTCTCCTCATCACTTAAAAAGTATTGTAGTGTCTGAGAATCCCTGGGACCTCTCCCCTTTTCTCTCCTCCTTCCCCCACTCACTGATGAGCCCTGCATTAGGGTTTATTGTTCATTCCCTTCTTCGCTTTGTAGTTTTCTATCTCAAAAAAATCCTTGTGCAGTATTGAAAACCTAGTATACCATAGATTGCAGTGGTAAATGTATGTATATGTAAATGATAAACATAAAAAATGTGTGTGGTGGGAAGGGATGGAAAAATGGTGTCTTTTAAAGGAGGCTTTTCTTGTTTTGAGACTTTAAAATATTTTAAGTGATTATTTTCATGGCAATATTTTAATTCTACAATTAAATTGGGATGTGATGAGTTGGAAACCTATATATATTTTTTTAATTTTATTATTCATATGTGCATACAAGGCTTGGGTCATTTCTCCCCCCTGCCCCCACCCCCTCCCTTACCACCCACTCCGCCCCCTCCCTCTCCCCCCACCCCCTCAATACCCAGCAGAAACTATTTTGCCCTTATCTCTAATTTTGTTGTAGAGAGAGTATAAGCAATAATAGGAAGGAATAAGGGTTTTTGCTGGTTGAGATAAGGATAGCTATACAGGGCATTGACTCACATTGATTTCCTGTGCGTGTGTGTTACCTTCTAGGTTAATTCTTTTTGATCTAACCTTTTCTCTAGTTCCTGGTCCCCTTTTCTTATTGGTCTCAGTTGCTTTTAAGGTATCTGCTTTAGTTTCTCTGCATTGAGGGCAACAAATGCTAGCTAATTTTTTAGGTGTCTTACCTATCCTCACCCCTCCCTTGTGTGCTCTCGTTTTTATCATGTGCTCAAAGTCCAATCCCCTTGTTGTGTTTGCCCTTGATCTAATGTCCACATATGAGGGAGAACATACAATTTTTGGTCTTTTGGGCCAGGCTAACCTCACTCAGAATGATGTTCTCCAATTCCATCTATTTACCAGCGAATGATAACATTTTGTTCTTCTTCATGGCTGCATAAAATTCCATTGTGTATAGATACCACATTTTCTTAATCCATTTGTCACTAGTGAGGCATCTTGGCTGTTTCCATAACTTGGCTATTGTGAATAGTGCCACAATAAACATGGGTGTGCAGGTGCCTCTGGAGTAACCTGTGTCACAGTCTTTTGGGTATATCCCCAAGAGTGGTATTGCTGGATCAAATGGTAGATCAATGTCTAGCTTTTTAAGTAGTCTCCAAATTTTTTTCCAGAGTGGTTGTACTAGTTTACATTCCCACCAACAGTGTAAGAGGGTTCCTTTTTCCCCGCATCCTCGCCAACACCTGTTGGTGGTGGTGTTTCTAATGATGGGTATTCTAACAGGGGTGAGGTGGAATCTTAGCGTGGTTTTAATTTGCATTTCTTTATTGCTAGAGATGGTGAGCATTTTTTCATGTGTTTTTTGGCCATTTGAATTTCTTCTTTTGAGAAAGTTCTGTTTAGTTCACTTGCCCATTTCTTTATTGGTTCATTAGTTTTGGGAGAATTTAGTTTTTTAAGGTCCCTATATATTCTGGTTATCAGTCCTTTGTCTGATGTGTAGCTGGCAAATATTTTCTCCCACTCTGTGGGTGTTCTCTTCAGTTTAGAGACCATTTCTTTTGATGAGCAGAAGCTTTTTAGTTTTATGAGGTCCCATTTATCTATGCTATCTCTTAGTTGCTGTGCTGCTGGGGTTTCGTTGAGAAAGTTCTTACCTATACCTACTAATTCCAGAGTATTTCCTACACTTTCCTGTATCAACTTTAGAGTTTGTTGTCTGATATTAAGATCCTTGATCCATTTTGAGTTAATCTTGGTATAGGGTGATATACATGGATCTAGTTTCAGTTTTTTGCAGACTACTAACCAGTTTTCCCAGCAGTTTTTGTTGAAGAGGCTGCTATTTCTCCATCGTATATTTTTAGCTCCTTTGTCAAAGACAAGTTGGTTATAGTTTTGTGGCTTCATATCTGGGTCCTCTATTCTGTTCCACTGGTCTTCATGTCTGTTTTTGTGCCAGTACCATGCTGTTTTTATTGCTACTGCTTTGTAATATAGTTTGAAGTCAGGTATTGTGATACCTCCTGCATCGTTCTTTTGACTGAGTATTGCCTTGGCTATTGGTGGCCTCTTGTGTTTCCATATAAATTTCACGGTAGATTTTTCGGAAAACCTAGTTTTTAAAACTCTGGATGCATCTGAGTTGAAATGCCTTCCAACTTCATGTCCCTGGAAAAACCAAACAAAGCCCGAGACCCACTTCCTGGGCTCCACATGCTTTTCCAGCACTGTGGTAGAGTACTTTTAGTAAGCTTTGCAGTAGTCTACGTCAGCTTTTGTAAAGACATCTTTGACTTTTGAGGAACTGGACTGTAGGCTTGTATGTACAACAACCTCTTCTTATCTTTTTCTCCTTTCGGCGGTAATTAGGAATTAGTTTACGGACTTGGGTTTGTGGTCTTCTCTTGGGAGAAGAACAGATGGAAGGAGGGCCTTCGTCAAGAGGCTCAATCTTCCTCAGAGAAAGGATCTTGTTTTATGAAAATGGTCTTACTTTGTTCCTCTCACTGATTCTTGGTTTTCCTTTTGTTGATATGTTTAATTTTTGTATTTCATTTGTAAATTTTGAGCTGCCTCAGAGGCTTTATGTAGGTGATTGAGTTCATTGCTTTTTATTTATATGCTGGATGTAGTTTTTAGAGAATTGAACTGTATTTTATTCTCTATACTTCTAACCCCCCACCTCCCAGCAAATCCTTAAACATAAAAACAAAACCAAAAAACCCTACCCTAAACCTTTAAATTCTCTCAGATTCTGTCTAGATGTATGTTTTTAAAAAGTCTACAGTGTAAATGCATAATTGGTTTGTATTTTTCTCATGCTATGATGACTCTTACCTTTTAAAAGAGGAATTCTGATGATAAAATGACTTAATCCACTTTGGCACAGTGGAAGGAACACTTCACAGTGTGTCCCTTTCTGGCCAAGGTCACATACTAGACATTAGATCAGCTGAAAATCCTCTGTGGGTTCCTGCTGGGTCATTTTAGGAGATGAGGACAGGGCGGTGTGTGGGTGAAGATGGCCTGTGCCTTCCTGCCTGCCTGGCTTCCCTTCCTAGGGACCCTGTCAGCAGCACAGCTCCCTGTACCACTGGGGAAGCTGACTCTGGAAGGAAGGTTTATCAGCTGCCTGGCCTTCTGTCTAGTGAAACATGGCCTGATGGTGCAGCGTGGGTTCTGGGCCATAGAACTCCCCATCCCACCGTGTTGACCCTGTGCTTCTGCCACGATTCTCCCTAGCAGACTTTTGTCTGCTTGGTAACCCTGCTTTTTATTGTCTTCCCCTTGGCTTGGGAGTTTGTTTTTCTGCCCTCCTTCAGCTGATTCCTGCTTATGTATTCTCAGCCACTGACAGGAATGAAGGACAGGTTTTGGGACCACACCTCAGCACCTCCTGCATGAGCATCAGGTGCCTCAACTCCTGACCCCAATGGAGTGACTGTCCAGAGACTGCCACTGCTTCAGCTTTGCCTGCCCTTCAGCTGGTCCTCCCTGTGGACCTCATGCCGTTGTGGAGCTGACTGTGAATGAGCATGCTGAGTGAGCCCTGGCGGCCGCCCTCCTGGGATGCCTGTGGCTCTGAGGAGTACACCTGCATGCATGTGAGGTTAGCAAGTTGTGATGGCAGTTGTATTAGATGTGTCATAGGTTTATTGAGATTTCTACCTTGGGATTCTTCTCATAATGCATATGAGAGGTTCACTGTTGATCTCACTTTATCAGTCTGTGCTCTATCTGGGTGCTTCTCTGTGGCCAAGTAGTGTTTGCCTTGTGGCATTCTGTGTATTAAGAGATAACAGTAGACCTACTGTGGTGGCTCACATCTGTAATCCTAGCTACTTGGGAGGTGGAAGGAGATCAGGAGGATCATGGATTGAGGCTAGCCCCAACAAAAGAGTTGAGACTCTATCTCAACCAGTGGCTGGATACGGTGGTGCATACCCCCATCTGTGCAGGAAAGCACAAGTAGGAGCACCCACAGCAAGCCCTCTGCCTCTGGTATCCCCGGCCCGAGGACCAACTGAGGGCATTCATTTGCTCATTCAACAAATACTGAGTATTGACCATGTGCTAGACCTTACGTGCTGAGGATAGAACCATAAATAAAACCAAGGCCCTGCTGTCCTGGAGCTCACTGTCTTCTGTGTGCAGGACTGAGGGTGGGGTGCACAATAAGCAATGAAGAAATGACTATCTGGTGGTGACAAGTGTGATGGGGAAAATCAGCATGTGTAGTGGGGGTAGTGGGAGTGGTCAGAGAATGCCTCTGTGATGTGGGGACACTGGGCATGGTGGACAGAGGGGACCACAAGGTCACAGGAACTCCAGAGGGAGCACAGGTGGCAGTGTGGCTAGGTAAGATTCCCTCCTCACAGAAATGAATGTCGTCCTACACTAGCATAGCTCAGCCTCTGACGTG